GAGGACGAAGACTTTTTGTGTCATCCGGTTCCGGAAAGATCGCCGAACGAACAGGATGATGACTAGTAATTGTGATTCAAGGCTGTGTGTGGTGCAGCTTTTTCTCGGTTTTAATTTACTTACTCATCCTTGTTCTCGTCTTTGTGGATTCTTCTTCTTTGTGCTTGTGATACACCTTCGATTTTTTGATTCCTCGTCTCGCTTTCATCTTGGGAGTGCTTATCTCATCCTTCGCACAAGAATTGCTCGTGCGAAAACGCGACGGTGTGGGAGGATCAACGAATTAAAGTTCATAAGATTATGTGCATTAGTAACCGGGATCAAACTCGACTTACTCTCATGTGATCTATTACTGATACTTGTGGTAAATTTTCACTTGAATTTACGAATTTTTTCGAATACTCACATTTACGTGTCTCTCTTGATAGTATTAAATCCCGGCTGAGCATTGCTAGGAAAAAATGAATTCCATAATTTGAGCTCGATGAAATTCTTCGTAATGATATACCTTTCCCTGGGGACATCGAAACTCACTGCATGAACATTTCATGTTCGACTGTAATTCTAGAATTATTCTATCTAACGTATATCGGACCATATCGTTTTTTCTCGATGAACTGTCTAAAACTTGCTCCAGACTTTAAATTAATGCCGTATTTCCCATCTCGTGTTATATGTTGGTCTTCATAAGTTCATGCGAACCTCAGGTTTAAATTACTTGCCTCAAAATTCTTTTGATTGCGACCGATTAATTTTCCGAAGTACAGTATTTGATGCTAAACGTTATTGTCCGCGTGTGTTGGCTCTGAATAAGCCCCTCTTTATTTTGTTGTTCGCAGGCTGTTACGCTGAACTGCACCCACTCTTTTTGCATGGAATGTTTGCAAAAGTGGTCTCAAGTCTCCGGCGTCACCCGTGCGGACAAGGGAGTTTGTCCGACTTGTCGGACGAAGATCGTGTCGTCGAATCCTTCGAGGGCAATTGATTCCCTGGTTGAAGTTCTCATCAAGTCAATGAGTCCTGAAAAGCAAACTGCTCGAAAAGCGATGGAAGCTTTGCATGAAGCGTGGCGAAAGGAAAGAGAGCGACGTGAGTTAATCCCGAATTCTTTTGTTGACTTATTCCTCTGGGATTTCTGAAACTTTTTTGAGTGATGAATCAAACTGAAAATGAGTCAGTGTAATGAAATTCGAGTAAAGGTATTCGCGGTTAATTTTCATTCTGTTCTCCTCGACCGGTGCTTCAATTGAAGGTCCGATTCCAAGGCCTGCCTAATATCGCGAAACAGATCGAGTGAAATACTGTAATCGTTGGCTTTTTTCATCTGCCGCCAAACGTTCTCCGCTTCTTACATTGTATAGTTGCCACGTAAATTTATTTCTCGTTCAATTGCCTTGAGTTGGTTGAGGTCGAGTCGGCTTGACATTTTGTCTACTCAAAAGCAAGATTCATGCGACACCTGCCTAACATTTCAGAAAGCACGCGTTGGAGTTGGAATGAACCTGGTCAAAAAGGATGCGCGCTTGAAGCTTAGTTGCAAGAATTTTTTTTTTTTCTTGTGGAATTGACGTTGAATGGAAAAAGTTTTAAAGAATGTAATGGAAATTCTATTTCTTCTTCCAGCTGTGATTCGCTCAAGAGGTAGACCGAAATCCCGAGACTCTACGACAATGCCAAATATCGCGGTTGGAAGGCGTGGGAATGAACATTTGACCGATTTGCTGGCGCGTCTAACCAATGATCGAGGTCGAAGTGCGTCTTCCCGTGTAAGGAAGCCATCATACGATGGAATAAAGCTTATCTCTGATATGTTGCGTTAAAGATTTGCAAAAGTTTCGTGCGGATCTTTTCGTAGTCAGCGAACGAACGCTGCCGATAACGGCAGAATTTCTCGTCATTTTTGTTCCGATTTCGGAAAAACGAGAATTGCTGCGTCAGATTTATTTTTCCAACAATCGGAACGATTATTATGAGACGTTGATTTCAGCCTTGTCAGTTTTACCTTTTATTACGATACTTTGGAATTGTTACTTGACTGAGAGGTCAGTTTTCGATGCTCAATTTTAATGGGTGTATAATCCACCTGGTGAAAAGATCCAGGCATTTGCATTTCCGAGAGTGACTTCGACTTTTTTTTTCAATCGATAAAGCAGAAATCATCGACAGCTTGAGTCAATTGCACTAAGGTTGATTAGCCAGAGTCCCAGTGCATTAATTTCATGCATTGAGTTTTAGTCATGAAAACGATACTTTTGCAATTGTTCTATCATTACCTTTTTTTTCAAAGTTTATATCTTACATGACATGATTCATTCGTCAATGGAAATGTCTTACACAGGTGGTCGATGATTCCGAAGAAACAAGTGCCACGTCCCGTGTGGATGTCGTACTGAGGGATATTTTGATACCCTTCGCTGCCAACAGTGAGTACCCTTGCGCCAAAATGCCTCCACTGCTTCGGTCGATGATCTTGGAATTTTAAAAATTTTCGCTGAGAACGACGACACGGTGTAAAATTTCTACTTTCATGCATTGATGTGCATATTCTTTTTGTTGATTCATACAGTAAAATATTATTTGAAAATTTTTGGCTTTTTCATATTATTAGGGAATGCAATTTTGAAATCTGAAATCATGGCATGATCTTATTTTTTTGAAGCTTCGTTTTTCTTACGGTTCTAGTGCACACAAGAGCGTCAAGATTTGACGACGAACGAGTTGGCCAATCATCCACTCGGACGGGCGGAAGTTGGCCTCTACCCACTGGTCAACCCCGGTTTTCCCGTTTTTAGTAAGTTCAATTATTATTTTTTCATCTTTTACTCAATTTTTAATAAAAAATACCTTTAGTGCTGTCCTATTAAGCAATCTACTGGAGTAAACTTGAGTCTTGGTATGCGATCTATCTATCCCGATACAGTTGGTAGAGTAAAATTCCCAGATGACAGTAGTGTACTGTACAGTACCGTACTTCATTCGGAGGTCGAGATTTGCATCTCATTGGTTTTGGGTCACTTTTTCTGCCGTATTTACGTATTTTATGACCGCAATATTTTAATGAGATATTAGTCGGAACAGAAGGAAATGTCTTCTGGAAAATTCGAGACTTCGCTTGCTTCACAATAAAGTACAGTATGTCTAAAAGTTGGCATAGTTCGGACAAAAAGTGTATCCCAGTTTAAAAAAAAAAATTCCTTTACGATGCATTGCAGTGACAATATTGTGAATCGAGACTTCTTTTCAGAGTTGTGAAATTGAAATTTAATTTTTGAAGAGAAATGTTTTTCCCGCATCTGCGCTTTGAATCCGAATTGTACTGTATATTGTATGTTTAATTTAGATACAGTACTGTTTTAAACGTTTGCCCAGTGGTGGGAAGATGCTCGATGTGATAATTAGACGTGAATAATTCAAACGAGAGTCGGATTTTTGGACCACCTCCCAATTATGCCTAAATCTGAGGGATCGCTAATTTTTAAACGCCCCAATTTTTTCGAATCTGGAAACGAAAGACGAGGCTTCTAGCAATCACCTAAATACTGAATGCCATCCTCTGAATCGATTATTTTGTCATCTCATGTTTTGTGCGGAAATATTAAGCTTGACAATATTCCTCAGGCCATTTCTCGACGAGAATATGATCTCGAATACCGGAGCCTTGCTAGGGAGCGACATCTACCGGCTTTTCGCCGCAAGTTCGAAATTGATTTGTATTCCTGCAAACGGGAAAAGAATTGATCTATGTTCAGATTTCCTGACAAATTTATTTTTTATAGCGCATTGTGGCGAAATTTCAGCACTTGCATTATTTATTTTCTTCGCATTTTCTCCCTCGCGCTTCACTCAAGTGATTTCGTTTCCCCGTCTGTGTATTAAGCAGTCAGAATTGATTCAAAATTGACTGTTCTTCGTGTGACTGAGTGCAATTGCAAATACAATATTTTGGCGAAATTTCACAAACACCGTATCGTTTAATTAAACCTTGGAGACATTGGTAGGCTGGAAGAGATCGCGTTCATAAAATTCAAAAATGCATTCAAATGTCATCGCGCATGGAATAAAAAAAACTCAGGATAACAAGTTCAGCGGATACGTGGAATAATCAAGGTTTTGTCGCTGCGCATTCGGTGGGGACGAATTCTGAAAATGAAAAATATTTTGTGTGAGATCATTTTTGAAACCCATCTTCAAATTTGGAACAGAAACAGTACAAATGGGATTTTCGCTCCTTGCTTCATTATGAAGTAACATCCTTTTATAACATTGTAATTGGGACCAGAAGAATAACTTCGTGATCCCAAATTCTTATGAAGATATTCGAAGAACTTCGTGGGTATTGTGCTGGGATTTTATTTAAAAACAAATTTATTGTGAGTGATTTTGTTGCACAGTATATAATCCAATTTGGTTTTCCTTTTCATTTGCTTGAAAATTGCTTTTTGTAAATTTTATTTTCTAGCTCATACAGCACCCTTGAAATCTTCAAGTTATGGAGTTTAATCCTTTGGTACAGTATTTTGAAAATCATATTTTTATTTTTCTAAGGAAAAATGTGCATTTCATTATGCAAAGAAAAATCAGGTACATTTTCTGGTTCAGCAGGAGGTCAAATTGTGTTTTAATGCTGCCTTGCACAAATCTAATATCAATGAAGAAAGTTTGTTGGCAAACTTGGTACAGTATTTCCCACATGAATCCATGGGAGAGAGATGTGTCCTGGTCATCCAAACCTTACCATGAATGTATCCTTCATTAATTTTCAGAAACAGGCTAATTTTTAAATTCTTGTTCAAGGGGCTTTTCCATCAACTTTTTGCACTATGGTAATATGTGTGTGTATATCCTTTTTATGCCAGAAGGACAGATTCTGTGTGAATTTCTCCTGTGCAATTATTTAAATTTGCATCTTGAAGTTCAAACAATAACATTGAAAGCTTTTTCCAATTTTTACTAAATGTGAGAAGGGATTGAATATGTCTTCATTCAAGTTTATGAGAAAATGTGATCCAACATGTGATGAACACAATCTGAGGATTGATAATGTCAGCATTGCTAATGTACCTCTGGTTGCACCAGTGATGTCTCCAATGATGCCAGCCTTGACCATGCTCTTCACCAGATGTCCTTCAGCTTCATAGCTATGGAAGGACAATATGGTGCCCCATCCTGTCCAGTCCCAGGTTCTAGTTGAAGTTTCATAATAGTGAAGCTGTGCAGAATGGTGGCATTGGTAGGAAAAGCCAGCAATGTCCACTAGGCCGCAAGTATGTAGTGCATAATTGATTGCCATCAGGCCTGTGGATGGCTTGAAATCGTATTTCAGCCACTTCCATGCTTCCATCACAATTTTTGGATTCATTATGCGCACATTTTCCTTCAGTCTGTAATTTGGAAGAAAAGTGTGGTGATGCATGCATTGTGAGTAACAATTTTTGATGCCCACACATACACAAAAAAATACTGTAAATACAGTACTGCATGTACAAATACAGTGTGGTCTTGGTTAATGAACCAAGAGCTCATGAGCTTTTTGGTTGACAAACTCTGGGTTTCCCTCAGCTGCTTGGGCTAACAAACCCTGATTTTGTTCACAAACTTCAGTTAATTAATATGTGAATGGGTAAAATTCTTGTTAGCAAAAGCCTGTGAATTCCTGCCCAACACAATTTATCTTGTTGGTACATTGATCAAAAGTGTTTTAATCTGAAATTCTGCATTGGACAGGTGATTTCTTAGAAAATTAAAGTTTGACGACTAACAAGTTTTTACAAAGTACACTCGGTCCTTTGTACAAATTAAAAAATGTGAAAATCTTTACATTCTTAATAGAGTCTATGGGTTCTTAGACACCCAGAGAAATCTTTTGAAATGGCAGTTGTCTTCAGTGATTTTCTCTTCATCATTCAAAGTTCTTGAAATCTAAGCCCACTAACCATTTCTAAAGACAAATCTTATTGATTTTCATGGGCACTTCCAATATTTTATAACCAATTAAAATTATTTATGTACTTGCTTATGGGAAAATGTGATTTGGGTAACAAACTTTGCTCAGGAATGCATCAAGTTTGTAAACAAAGACCCCACTGTATTGTAAATATGCAAAAATGCTTCAAATATGCAAATGTCCTGTAAGTATGCAAATATAATGTAAATGTGCAAAAATACTGTAAATATGCAAATATACTTCAAATATGCAAATGTTCTGTAAGTATGCAAATATAATGGAAATGTGCAAAAATACTGTAAATATGCAAATATACTTCAAATATGCAAATGTCCTGTAAGTATGCAAATATAATGTAAATGTGCAAAAATGCTGTAAATATGCAAATATACTTCAAATATGCTTCATGAGAAGACAAACGGGTGTATGTTAACTGAACTAGTTGAACAACGACAAGTAAATATTAAAATCTACTCCCTAAACAGGATAAAAAGGGTCTATTTTATTCTTGGGTAAAAATATACATATGGTCGTCAGTTCGTTAGCAGTGAGACGCAGTGATTTTTTATTCATTTTACATTTGGATATGGCTAAGTTGAACCTCACTTTAGTCAAAAACCTTGCAATTTAGAATTTTCAGTCAATACCTGGTCAATTTCCCGAAGTTCAAAACAAACATCCTCAGTTCAAAGCTACAATATTCATCTCTTATAACCTCTTATACTGTAGTAAAACATGTAAGATCTTTTTGCTGTTCCATTGGAGCATCATTTTAGAACACCTGCTCCAGAAATAAAATCAGATTTAATGCATAAATCCATTTCATTCACATATGAAACACCCTAATACAAAAAACGTTGTACAGTTGTATTTAGCTTTCATGTAAGACTGCCTTCAGATTTGAGAAGATGCTTTTTGAGAAATTCTAACCCTTATTGTTACAATGCTATGACTCTAACTTTCATTATTTCACTTGCTGTACTTTCTTGTTCAACACGTGGTGAATGGGATATAATGTACTGCATTTAATTTCAAAAATTAAATTAAATATGACCTGGAAAGCATGCCATTCTTGTCGAGAATCTCCTTTTGCAGCCAGGGTTCATCCCTGCTTGGCACCATGAGTACAAACACCATTAGACTGATTGCCCACATACAATTGACTTGATCAACTTGTTGCTGTTCATTTATAATTTTAGATGAGGGATTTGTCCTATTTTTCCCAGATAAAATAAGAACCCATTTTTATATGTATACCAGCAGTCAAGCAATACAGTGAGACGCAGTGATTTTTTATTTATTTTACATTTGGATATGGCTAAGTTGAACCTCACTTTAGTCTAAAACCTTTCAATTTAGAATTTTCAGTCAATCCCTGGTCAATTTCCCGAAGTTCAAAACAAACATCCTCAGTTCAAAGCTACAATATTCATCTCTTCATCTCTTATAACCTCTTATACTGTAGTAAAACATGTAAGATCTTTTTGCTGTTCCATTGGAGCATTATTTTAGAACACCTGCTCCAGAAACAAAATCAGATTTAATGCATAAATCCATTTCATTCACATATGAAACACCCTAATACAAAAAAACGTTGTACAGTTATATTGAGCTTTCATTTAAGACTGCCTTTTGATTTGAGAAGATGATTTTTGAGAAATTCTAACCCATATTGTTACAATGCTATGACTCAAACTTTCATTATTTCACTTGCTGTACTTTCTTGTTCAACACGTGGTGAATGGGATACATTATACTGCATTTAATTTCAAAAATTAAATTAAATATGACCTGGAAAGCATGCCATTCTTGTCGAGAATCTCCTTTTGCAGCCAGGGTTCATCCCTGCTTGGCACCATGAGTACAAACACCATTAGACTGTCCTTGAAAAACTCTGTTCGAGGCTCTGGCACCAGCAGGAAGTTTTTCCGGGACAGGATGCGAACGTGAGTTTTACTTCCGACTCGGTCTTCGAATCCTTCCACCGGAGCTGCGTTGATGCGGATAACCACGTCGTAGAATGTGTCAATTTCGGGACCCAGTCGGTGCTGGTTGAGGATTCCACCACTGCCAATCACCACGCATTTCTTGCTGCTGTTTGAGCTGCTGCCCACCAGCAGCGACATCAGGGATTGATTGTTAGCAGGCATATGCATTTTATGAGGAATAAGGGTGGCTGGAATAACGTCGCCAGGCCCAACCTCGTCAGCCAGGAATAATCTCGTCACGAATTAAACTCGTTGCGGAAGAATCAGGAATAACCTCGTCTTTATGTTCTACCCGAGATGTTGGGACTTGAGGAATTTTTTGCTGTACGAGGTTGGTCCAGTTGTGAAGTGCGGGAAGATTTTTTTCAGGAGTTTGTTCCAGGATAGGCTTGACGACAGTAATCCGGTGTTGGAATTACGACGTTATTCCACCATCCCAGGAAAAACTCAAACTTCATGATGCATTTGTTGGAAAAAATGATTTGGCAAAATTTTGCAGCTTCTGCTGGAGCCTGGTGAACCAAACCCGAGTTTGGTTCCCAGGCCCAGCAAGGGCATTTCTGAATAAACTATTAAATCTCTAAAAACGTTGTCCTTCAACTCTTCCTTTCCCTGATTTCCAATTTCTTCTGATTGAAACACTTGCGTTCAAGTTGTGAACCCAAGCGGATCTCTGTGCAGAGAAGCTTTCATGTGTCAAGTGTGTTATCGGTGGAAATTGTATAACAATTCCCCAATATATATTGTGAGAATAATTGCTGTAAAGCAAATATTGATATTTGGTGTTATTCATAACACCAGGAAGAGATAATAGATTATTAATATGTATAGAATCTATTAATATTATTCCATCCCTTCCCTGTCCTTCCCAAGTACACGTGGACTGACAGACACATCTGACAGCCACGTGAGGACCCTTGATGACGCGCAGACCCCTGACGACGCGCGCATAGAAACCCCAGTGCATGGCAACCCCTTACCTGCTCAATACCTGTTGGCGCGTGGCAATCATTAAATGATACCTGCACACGCACTTGACCTACTCCCCTTCTGAAATGTACCCCAATCCTGTGGTATATAAACCCCTGGCAGGATTAAGACATTTAGGCATGTTAGCTCAGGAGACAGTACAGTTCAGAAGGTTCAGATCCCTGTGTCTTGTGGTCAATATTGTGAATACTGTGTTATATTGAATAAAGACTATTTTCGTCTGGAATAGACTTTTAGTACTTAATCATTTCCCATCCTGATTAAAAGGAGACGCACGTACACTTACTACGTTTCCAGGGATAACAAGTGAAACTTCAACCAGTGAATCTTGCAAAGCATTCCAATTTGAAAATACAGTATATCATCTTAAACTAGGATGACTTTGTCCCGGCCGCAGCCAGGGAAAAACACTTGACAGTGTTTTTCTTCACTTTAATAACTCCACAAGCACTGACTTTTGTCTAGCTAACTTCATCCAAGCCAACTGCATCTTCTCAAGCACTTATTGAATAATTTAAGCTTGTCTATCTATATCACTTTATCATCTTCCTGAGATTTCTTTCATCACTTACATTCTTTTTCTCACAGTATTACATATTCAAATAATGCAGTGAAATGAAAATATAAAACCAAAATGCAGCTCATCCTCTCTTTGAGTTGAACCTCCTCAAGTCAAAGTTTCTGTGATTCATATTATTCTACTGAATTCCTAGCCAATCCCCCTGAGACAAATGTACAATTAAACCTCATTATCTCAAAACCACCATTAGTCAATTTGTTGTTCAAATCACACTCTTAATTCCCTTGGGAACAATGCATTGAGACAGGAAAGAGAAAAGCAATAAAAAATGCCACTTGTGATATGTTTTGAATACAATTAAGTGAAGGGCTAATTGGGCAAATGAACCCTTGCCTCCAAATTGAATTAATAACTTTTATGGATTATTGTTTTGTTTTTTTTACCTGGTAGTAGATTGATGAGGATTATCACGTCGCAAGTGGGAAGACAGGTGTTGCAATGCTTGAGCGTCTGTGTCTTTGAGATCAAATGGCAGTGAATGAACGCCGTTTTCTGCGTCCAAAACATCTTCTCTGCTGAGGTATATGTCAAAGCTGGCGACTTCTGAGCTCGCATCATCTGCATGAAGGAAAATTATGTGTATATACTGGATTTAATTATAGATTGGCATCAATTATGAATCAGTAACAATAATTTAAATTAATTAAATATGAATATATTTATGCAGTCAAACCCCAATAAGATGCCACCATTTGTCCAGAGCAATTTTGGAGGTTTAAAGAGGTTGGCGGTTTATCAAATATTTTATTCTAATTATTTGATCAAAAATACAGTACTTGATTTTCCTCCAAAAGTCATAGAGATACAGGTTATGTAAGAAACTTCAGTAATTTTCCAAAGAGTATTGCTGTGATCAGTGGATTACTCTTTCAGAAAATGAATTTTGCTGCATCAATTAATTCAAATTTCAAGATTAGGTCAATACAATTTTCAAAAAAATGATCATTATTATTATTTTTCATACAAATTCAAGATCCTTGGCAGAAATTATAATTCTACCCCAATGTTGGCATTGTAACAAAGACAAAACTAATTGGAAACAGCAATTTTGTTTCATCACTAATGCTGGCAGATGGCGGTTGGCATCTTATCAAGGTTTTCTATAAAATTTAACACAGAGGAGATTTGTTCCATTCAAAATTTTGGTGGTTGGCAAGGGTGGTGCTTTATTGGGGGGTGTCTTAACAGGGTTTGACTGTACATTGAGAATCCTTCATATATTATTAAAACAAAATTTTCAGAACTATCTAACTCTTGAATAAGTAAGGTGCAGCTACAGTATACAGGTGCCATTTGGTATTCATGATGTGTACAATAATTGACCTTGCTCATATATATCATATTGTACAGTGTTCCCCAACCTGTGGTCTGCAGACCAGCACTGGTCCACAAAAGTTGTTTGCTGGTCTGCAGGAAATTTTCAGCACAATACAGTACATTTCTTAAAAGTTGGAAAGAACTCTGTTATTATTATCTAAAAATTTGGGAAGACAATGGTAGTTGAAATCATTTAATGACTAATAATATAAGTTTGATTTTCTCCTAACAGCACTTCAGACACATTTTTACCTGCTGAAATAAAGTATTCTATTTTTTCCATTCTGAGAAACCTTTCTGCAAGCCCATCTTTCTAAGTTTTTGATGACATTCAGCTATAGCTGCTGCTTCATATAGGTGCTTGACTTAATTTTTGCAAGAAGCAGAAACTTTATGCCTGCCATATAAACTCAATTGAGCAAACATTTTCAAGTCTGTAAAAATTTTATGAAACTTTGTAGCTCTGCAGAATTTTTTTTTTTGGGGAATTTGCTGGTCTGCAGAAAATTATATGGAAATTTGCCAGGCCACAAAAAATTTTATGGCACTTTGCAGGTCCATAGACCCAAGAAGCGTGGGGAATGCTGACATAGTGTATATACAATGGATTAGGCATGATTTGCATTTGAGATCTGCACAATTAATGTTTAGCTATGAATTATCAACCCATAAGGTCTAATCAATATTTTAAATTTTAGCTACGTTTCACACATTTTCATTGTGTGCTAAGTGTCCGGCTTATTATTCCTCTATGTTGGCAAATTAATACCTCAACAAACCTGAATTTGGTTGAAAAACTCTATTCCAGCAAAAATTTTCAATAAAAAATTGAAACCTGGTTGACAAACTGAAATACTGAACTGTACTGTGTATCATATTGTGCTCAATAGACATTTACAAGTACTAAATGCTATTGCATATCTATGCAAATATTCACCTCCTCTGCTGGCCTCCCCTGATGTGAGTAATGTTGTATTTTTAAATTGCAATTTTATGTGATGGATCATAATAAAATTGTTTTTCTGTTGCTTTTGTCTACGTTTTATTCTGAACTGTAGCCATGTGCTTGGAATTTTGCTGCTCATTTTAGTCACTTAGATGTATTTTTAAATTGCAATTTTATGTGATGGATCATAATAAAATTGTTTTTCTGTTGCTTTTGTCTACGTTTTATTCTGAACTGTAGCCATGTGCTTGGAATTTTGCTGCTCATTTTAGTCACTTAGTTGCTATCTCGTACAAATGAAGACATCACTTTATTCAATAATTTTTTCCTAAACATATGTATGGCAGCAAGAGCATATTACAGTTATCTTATTCTGTGGAGAACGTTTCAGAAAGAACTGAAGTCAGCTGAATCATCCCAATGGATAAACCATTATTTGGAAATGTCACTTTTTGTGTAAAAAGAAACATTAAATTTCTTCATCATTTAAGATTCTCTATATAGAAACTCTGAATTTGGTTAGCAAACATTCTGTTGAAAAAGGTTTTGTTGCTTGGGAACGTATGAGGTCTGCTGCTAACTACAGTGATTGACTTCGTACGCTATTTCAATAAAGGTCGTCTTATATAGTGATGTTCATTTCATTTGCTGGTGTTTCCAACTAGAATGCTGTGAACAGATATGATTAGTCATATGTGTGATGTTACTGATGTATGCTTAATAATTCATGCACTAAACTGCATTACAAGTTTTGCGAGATACCTTCCGAGAAAAACTGGATGGACTCAAAACGACGCAAGTGCTGTTATGCACATGGTCACGTTTCATCATCAATTAACATGCAAACAACTCTGCGAAAATCTCACCTGATAGGAATTTATCCGCAATCAGCTTTGTCGAATTGGGCGCGAAGTCTCGGAAACAGCCCATGAACAGATCTGACTCTGGAGGAGCTTTCATCACTTGAATCATCATCAGGATCGTCAACAAGATGGCCACCGCTATGAGAAGCACCGAAATTCTGCGCCAGTTTATGATACACGACGAGTGCGCGCGAATCGGCATTATTCTCCCGCGCACAGTGTGATGAACAAACGCGAAGTAATGTGTTTCCGTCGTACACCATCGCAATGCGATTCTTCGAGTATAGTATGCTGCATATATACTTCGGGCGCGAGATCGGGTAAGGAGTTGTTGGGGTGGGGGAAATGGGGATACGTTCTTGCCCGGAGATAATCGCGAGTTTAGGTCGTGGGTTGGAGATAAGGCTAATCTTTTACCGCAGATGTTCTCGAAAATTCTAGACGGGAAGAAAATCCGTGTGAATGGATGTGCAGTTCAGTACATATTACTCCGACATCTACATGAAGTTCTTCTATACTTATGTTTTCGCTGTTGTTACTCCTTCGTGAGGGCGGAACAAAAACATGCATATACATATGCTGTATATAGAGTGTATAAAGTATATGTGTGTATTATTATCTACAGTACAGTAATGTATGTACTGTACAGCACTGTATCTACAGAAGCACACCAGCATTCCCAAGGCGTTGTTCTTTTTTGAAGATAGGTGTCACTGTTTATTAGAAGAAAAACTGGAGGAATATGCAGGTACGCATATTCCTTCAGGTCAGCAGATATGTGCAATATTCTGCACATATCTTTTAGGATTTAGGCTGTTATTTTCCCAACTTCCAGAAAAAAATGAGGCTTTTTTCTGCACACATAAAAATTATATTGAAGTCTTTTTGCTTGTTTACCTGATGCTTCTTGTTCCTTTTCTTTTTGGGGAATAGATGTGCTAATGTTAATACCTTTTAATGTTAGTATTCCTTGTTAATTTGTCGGAAGAAGGTAAACTTGAGTGTTTACAGTACTGCTGGATAAACCGATTCATTTCTTTAAAATAATAGTCTCAACATGGAGGGAGTTATGTTTTGCCCCAAACAAATGGTTCTCGAATTGTACCCAATAATTTATTCTTTAAAGTATATTATTCTTGAATTCAGCCCAGTCCGACGTTTTTATAGGTGATACTATGTATAACAACCCCTACCCCTTCCAAACGTTGAAAGTGATGTGTATATGAATCTAAGAAATGGCAAACATTTTGTGGAAAATCGCATTATTGTGCCTCTTGTGTGTTTGAATTACGTGTACATCAGTGCTGGAATGCAAGCATGCATGCAATACTGTACTTTGAATGAAGCAAACGAGATTAAATTTAATTAGTAAGCATGACAGTTGTGCATATGCATGTTGCAATAAGATGGATGCCTTTGGGTATATATTCCAGCATGTGTTTGAGTACAGTATTTCCAACGCTGAAACTGAAAGATATATGATACTGCTGTACATCAGTATAATACCCGTATAGGTTAAAATATAATGTACAAATAAAGCCGGAACGAATAAAAGTAGTTATTTTCAAAAATTGCTACAACGTGCAATATGACATTTCAATCATTGCAATTTTAATTCAGACTCTTTGTACAACACTCGTGTCCAGCACATGACAACGTTCTCTACGTGAAGAATTATTTTCGGCCCCATAATGTATATTCTATACGCATCTCAACGCTAACATTCAATTTCTAAAATTGAAATTTTGCCTTTCATGAATCAACACACCTTCCAGCAATAATAATTTTTTACGTACGAGCTGCTGCTGATCAAGATGCAAAATGTTAAATGTTCCATGATATACGCTTAGATACATAGTGCATAGCATACCAAAAAAAACCCAGAGGAATCGTTGCACGAAAAGTGATGGAAAATATAAATGTAAACTCTTCAATGAAAAAACTGCATAAGATTTATGCAGTTTTCTTTTTAGTGAAGAACTGCAAGCTGCTGTTTGCAAGTCTGCGTTTTCTTGTTTGGGGCAGGCCATATCAATTATGCATGAATATTCGCTGTACTATTTTGAAGGCAATTTTTGTCTGAGAAAGGAAATTACAGTATGTTACATGGAATGTGATTTCATGATGATGTGACATGGCGGGAGTCAGCATCAGCTCTATATATGTTGTTCACAGAAATTTCCATATATGTACCGAACTTTACAAGAAATCAGCTGTATGAGAATTGAGTAGCTTATTGAATCTGTAATTTAGCTGCTAACTTTATTTGCATGCATAAAAATAAATGTTAGATATGGTATGCATACAGTATATTGTCAAGTTAATTGCTGATGCGTGCTGCCAGCAGCAGCATAAGAAGTGCTGATGCACGCAGGGGTGACATACGTTACATTGAAGCATGCTTATCTATCTAAAGTATTTTTATATAATTAAAGCACATCATTAGTCCATTACAGTCGAGGTGGAAGAATATGTTCAAAACCATTTCGTACCATGATGCTGCTACAGTATTTGCAATAACCCTGTACAGTATAAAGCCAATCGTTCATCAGAGTTGAGAGAATCCACCATTTCTGAAGCGGTTGACGCATCTTGATTGCTTTTAAGTTTCGTAAAATTTCAACATTCCACACTTGAAGGTAGGGCTTATGATAATTTTGTGTTTTCCCAGGTTCATTGAAGTTGTGGTATCTATATTTGATCTATTACTGTATACCGGTGCATTACATTATGAACTTTCTGTAAACCAAGGTTGATGCTGTAGTCTTTTGCTGTTGCGTACTCGATTCGTCATGGCCGCCCGGCATCGGACGAGGACGCAAGACCTCACAGACAGGTCTATAATTTAGTTGTTCATTTAGATTCGGCATAGCACTTCCGTGATTATCTAGGATGGAATATTTAGTGAAGTAGAATCATATTTGGAAATTGAATTGATGAATTATGCATACGAAGCCACTTGTGGATGGGAAAATATGTCTTTTTGATTAGGAAATGAGCAGAAAATTGAATGTCTGTGCGAGTTTCTGTGATGAGAGACCGACATCTTCAAGGTATGCAATGCGCCGCAGTGTCATGTCACTCAAGTCACGCTGTCAACTGAGCCTTGCTTCAGATTATCTGCCTTATTTCGTGATACGGTTCTGTCAAGTGCCCTGATTCGCTGAAGTCCAAAGAATGTTGGTTTATCCGTGGATTCTTTTTCATTTGTTCATTGCCGGAGTTTTTCCAAATGATTATCTCTGGATTTTAATCCGTTTGAATGTATTTGTACGGTTTCAGGCCATCGTGTGTAACGGTTGAGAGTATCCGTCAAAATGGTTCAGAAGAAGGTGAGTTGTCGTTTGGATTGTCTTCACATTCGAGCTGTAATTACTTTGACGAGTTGCGAACGTTTTCTTGAAAAATTGTATCCGTCACACGTGCTCGAGAACCCAGATGTCGAGTGTGCATACTCCGCTACCGAAACCATGTTCGGTTCCGTGATGAGATTATTATGTGCGTATTCATAGGTGGCCAAGAATAAGAAGGGGAAGAAGAAGATCGCAGCAGCGCCCGTCATCGCTCAGAGGAAGGAAGAACCCAAGAAAGTTGAGAATCCCCTAATCGAGAAGCGGTCGAAGAACTTTGGCATCGGTGAGAACAAAGCTGGCTTCAGTTTGAAGGAACATCAATGTTTTGAAACACGTTTTGTCTCAATTCAGGTCAAGATATCCAGCCTAAGCGTGATCTTTACCGATTCGTCCGCTGGCCGAAATGCGTGAGACTTCAGCGCCAGAAGGCTGTTCTTCAAACACGATTGAAGGTACCACCACCAATCAACCAGTTCTCGCAAACGCTCGACAAGCAAACTGGTGAGTAGAGATTTTAGACTCTTACGACGAAAGTATTCAGCTATCATTGATCTTGTGCTATTCTTTCACCCTAGCCGTGAACCTCTTCAAGCTCCTTGACAAGTATCGGCCGGAGACTAAGCTTGCCAAGAAACAGCGTCTGAAGGAGCGAGCTGAACAGCGCGCGAAAGGAGAAGAAGAGAAGGTCAAGAAAAGGCCTAATGTCATCAAGCAGGGGACGAATTCTGTGACTACTGCAATTGAGCAGAAGAAAGCTTCTCTCGTCATCATCGCTCACGATGTTGATCCGATTGAGGTACTGTAAATATGTTACCTGCCTATTTTAAATCATGTCCAGTATTCATCTCCGTATCACCCTAAATTTCCGGATTTCTCGGCCGTTTGTCTTTCGAAATTGAGCATACTATCATTGTTTTCTTCCTACACTATTCGGTTTTCTTGTGGTAACCAGAATTTTGGTAGTGACCAGAAATAAACCATTTTCGGTAGAAAATCCAATTATGTTCCACGAGTACTGAAGTTTTCTCATGTTCTTAAATCAGAGCATTATGTTGGAATGCTACTTCTGCAAAAATCAATGCGTACGTGAGTGGATGTTAAATGCGGGCGAGAATCAGTGTAAGTAATCTTATTCATAGCGTGAGGAACATCCCTGATTTATAGAAGTTATGTTGCAATGACGAAAGAATAGACTACGATCTCATTCAACAATAATTAGGCCAATTGTATTTTTCGAGGTGCAGTAACTACGCTTGGTCAGGAATGTTTTCTCTCTTCCTGAGATTTTTGCGATCCAGGAAGTGCATCATGTGTGTTTTCTTCTTCACTTGAAATTTAGCTGGTGATCTTCCTGCCCACGCTTTGTCGCAAAATGGGAGTTCCCTATTGCATCATCAAGGGGAAGTCCCGACTCGGTCGTCTGGTGCATAGGAAGACCTGTTCCTGCGTGGCGCTTACAACGGTAATTTCTTTGGAACTATTCGTGTAGTCCTTCGTAATTCAATCATGCCTCGAAATTGTCATGCTTTACAGACGAATTCTGAGGACAAGAATCAGCTGAACAAGTTGTTGGAGGCCATCAAAACCAACTTCAACGATCGTTTCGAGGAGATCAGGAGACACTGGGGTGGTGGTCTTGTTGGTGTCAAGTCTGCGGCGAAGATTGCCAAGTTGGAGAAAGCAAAGGCCCGCGAGGCTGCGCAGAAAGTTGCTGTTTGAAATCATCTCCCGTAATTCGTTCTTGCGATGAGAATAAATTTCTTGAAGGGGAGCGTCAAGAAATCTTTTTTTATTTTTTTCTTTTCCTCAGCATCAGCTTGAACTATTCATCGAATTTTAAGGCAACCGTCGACGTTCATATTCGCATTCTATTAAAATTTTTTTTTCAAGTTCAGAGTCCATGCAGAGAGTTCTGTTTACTTTGGAATGAAATAATGAAAAGTTCCATGCAATAATCCCATTTTACCGTACTCATAAATTCTTATGAATATTTATTCTATAACGAACGCTTCCTCGATTTTCATGACTTCGTGTTCATGCTACTTCTCGGGAATTGTTCGTGCGCTGTAATCCATCGATGTGGAGGCAGTCCGGCAACTTCTGAATAGCCTAGGCCATAACCGAGAGTCTGTTCAACTAGAAAATACGTTCTGATCTGGGAATACTTATTCGAAGTCCCTGGGTCACAGGGAATTCTGAAGAGAGTGAGAATTCTTGGTTTTTCAGAAGGCGATGAATAGGTCGAGTCCTGTGTTTCGTTTAGTAAAGTAAGAAGTTCGAATATTCCGGGACTAGTACTGAAACTCATGCTCAGATTTTGCAGAGCACTATCAATGTCGAGTTGTGAATTGATGAAGACGGAGAAAAGCAGAAGGGGAAATCAACGGTCGAAGTGAAACACCGTGAGTAGTCGAAGCCGCATCTTTATTCAACTCATCTCACGCCATTCCACGCATTCCAGTTGGCGTAATTTGTACAATATGGAAGGCTTCCTGTAATCCGTGATTTTTCTTGTTCTAATTGGCAGCTTTCCGTTGAAAATAACGTAATCTATTCGACATGAGAACTTGAATAAGGGAATCACTGAGAATTGTGAAATTGATAATGCAGGTACTGTAACTTTAAAGGACTCAGGAGGGCCTGAAACCGACAAGCTAATCCTGAAATTTGCTGTGATTGATTGAATTGCTACTTAGTTTTAGATGTCGTGCTGAATTGGATTCTGTATCACTGCTATAATATCGTATTTCAGTAGTAGTACGATATTGATTTACTGGAAACCTTCCTTGCTGAGCAAAGCTCTGAGAAGATGCGATTTTAAAAATAATTTTATTAGAACATTTTACTTAAAAGTAAATACTGCTAGGAATCTAAGGTTGCCCGAGATTCGCGCGTCTTCGAAAATTTCTGGCATCCAACGGTATCGCATTCAGATCATCGTAGTTCGTGTAATCCTGCGTGAGGTCGTGAATCCCTTGGAAGTCGAAAGTTTCAGTGGACATCGGTGTCGATGGTGGAGTGGGTGTCTCAGTGGTCGGTTCAGTGTTACTGCTTACGGACTCTGCCGTACTTGGCGTGGTTTTGACGAATTGCTTCGAAATGACTTCATTCAAAGTGGCCGCTAGTTTCTCATAACCTTTTCCTTCCACGTCGTGTTTCACATAGTTTCTCATCTGCGCGTTCTGTTGAAGCATGTCGTCGAGAATGTCCTTCAAGACCTCGTCGATCGTTGCGTTGGACGGAAGGGGTCCAGGAACAATGCTAGAGCTCGATTCGTTGCTCGGGACTCGTTGGATACCTTTCTCGAGCTTCTCCAGCTTCGAAACCGGAACATCGACTTCGTGGAAGAAGGATTTCAGGTTGTCGTTGTGCGATTGGAAGTAATGGTACAAGTACGCGTCGAGGTTCCAGTATTTCTTCTTGTAGATCTTGTGCTTGAAGTACCACTTGGTGTATTCCGAGAAGTCCTTGTCGAAGAGCAATCCGGGATGGTAGTACGTGTGGCCGACTCGGAGGTACTCGTAGAACGGGTAGATGAATCCGAGGATGATGGCCGCCAATCCGGGAAGAACTACAGAATGTGATTGTAGATTGGCAAGGTGAAAATTTGCGTGTGCTTGTTAGTTAAAATTTTTCTAATCGATCTTTCCTTAAGAAAAAAAATCCAGTCATATCTACAGTAGAATCTCATTATAACGAATAATCGATTACAGAGAGGTCGATCTTTACGTCCCTGTCGAATATCTGCAATGTCATTTGAGTTCGTTGATAAGATTATAACCAATTTTCCTTTATAGCATAACTATTTTACTGGTACCTATGGCTTTGATGTAAGGAGATTTTACTGTACTTTACCATGCGCAAGTATGATGGGTACCCATGTTTTCAGTCTGATATTTTAATGAATACATTTATAAGTAATAAATGCTCCACATTTTTAGTGACTGAAAGCTGCAATAATATATAAGACAACAGAATTTGAATGTAGACATGAATCTAGCCTGAATTCAATTGATTCTCAATTGTTTTGGTTGGGTCAAAACATGCTTCCCAACATGTGGCCCGTGGAATAGATCCTACATACAGAGACTCTTCATGCACCCCTTGTTCCCATTACTATACTTTTCAAATTTTCAGATGCCATTATTCAAAATATTTACTGACAGGATTTTAAAAATCAGCATGTTGCTCCACTGTTGAAAAATTCTGTAAGCTTGTGATTCAATGCAAAGCAGTGAATTAAATTTGAATTTGTTCATCTATATATAGAAGCAGGACAATTTTTGGAGCCTCAAAAAATGGTTTTTTTTTTGGCCCACAATGACTCTACAATGTGACCCTTTGCCACATCTGAGTTGGGCACCCAGCAAAAGATTGGGCATTAGAAACTTTTTGGCCTGAGTGCACCCATTCACTAAGGCATTTGCTGACCCATTCATTTGGCTTCCCCCAAAAACCAAACGGCCAGCTGCTGGAGTCAGCCAAGACCCATTTGTGAACCCATTTATTGAGGCATTAGAATCCAAGCAAATTCCGTCAAGGAACTCATTTACACGCAGTAATGGTCCCAGAAAAAGGGTCCCGCAGGGGTCCTTTGTTGTCAACTTTCCGCGCCTGCTCAGCTCCCCTCCTCTTCCTTCCTGATATTTTTGGTGCGTGGGACATCGTGCACTCAGATACCCCTGTCTGTGCATACTCGTAAAATAACATCTGAATTAATTTTAATTTTGTAAATTTAAAACATTTATATGATTCATCACATTTTTGGGGTAGGTTGGGTGAGTTAGGTTAGGTTAGTAAAACTGAATTTTATTTTCTGCATTCTGCTGAAACCCATAGAAAGCAGAAACTGATTTTGGGAGGCAGTTAGGTGAAGTTAGGTTAGATCAGGTTAAATTGGTCAGATGGAAGGTACAGAGATAACAGGAAAGTAGGTACTGAGATAACAGGAAAGTACCAATAAGAAACCTTTTTTTTAGATGAGGTGACATTAATTTCAGGGCTCTAAAATTTTGTCAGTAATAATACTCAACGGTAGAAGTACAAGAGGGCCCATCCTGGATAAAGAGTCAGTGGATTGTACCACTTGTCCAACTCCACGCTTGGGATTTTGAATAGTGCCGTTGCTTGTCTCGATTCTGGTGAAGAATTTTGCTGAAAAATTATGAACACATAAATTAGAAAGCATCAATAGGATGATACAGTAAATTGCATGCCACTGTTTTGAACCTTTCTAATCCCTGAGCTCTCTTCTCTTACCGCTTTTGAAGAGGAGAAGAGGCCTTTGATGTTTTGGAGGAATGAAGCGCCATCAGACGAGCCAATCACGACCGATAAAATCAACACTGTGGCGATCACCTGAAATTTCATTTCTCTGCAATATTGATGAAACGGTTTTTCAGTGCGTAATTCACGGCGAATTTTCAAAATCAATCTAAGAAGGCTCTGTCAATAGGATTTGTTTTGCATGACAGAGCCAACGGGGATTTTTGCAAGACAGTAATGCCTTTATTTATACTTCAAAAAAATTGAAGGTCATTGAGAGATATTCGGATGATCTTTTTTTCCGTTTGATGTTCCCATCGTGTTCAAATCGTATCCCGCTTTATTCTTGCCGATATTGAGATGATTTTAATGCGTGAAGAAGCAAGTTTCCATGGAGAGGTTGTAATTTTTCATCTCGTATCAGGTTCCAGAGGTAGAGGAGGAATTGTTGGTTGTTCTTCTGTTGAATCCTGAAGAATGCCATTGCCTGAAATGTAGAGATTTATTTTTGCTTGATGAGACGAAAGCTATTTTCATCTATATAATCTCGTGCAGACTCTCTGAAAGAGTAGTTTCAAAAAATTTGCCACAGAGGAAAAGCAAAATGAATTGAAGCACAGCAATCTATGTGAATGGACCTCCAAAAGTCAAAAATCTGTAATTTTAAGTTTCTTGTAAATTCCTGGCCAATCCCCTTGAGACAAATACTCTATATTTAAAACCTCTCTAACTCAAAACTTTTCACTGCCCCCATTACCCTTGTGCTATTTATTAAACCAGGAATACATTTTAGAACCCCTGATCCACAACATTGGCAGAATTGTTTTGTTAATGATTTCCACAAGGGATTTGGCACTTTCCTGCAAGTAAAACATCTAAGAATGAAGAATGCGTTTAATAATTGAGCAAAATTGATTTTGATTAATCTTAGAGGCCAAATTCCTCAACTCAAAATTACCTGAGGCACATTCTCTTGGAATAACTTCCAATTTTTTGCAATGCAATGCTTGTGCAGCAATTTGTGAGCAAATGAAAAATTTCAAAGAATTGAAAAACGCTCAAAAAAATTCAAAAACTAAAGAACTAATCTATAGAAACTATAGACAACCTTCAGAATACCTAAAAACTTGAATTTTGTTGTTGTTTAAACCATCATCTATAATGTAGAAAAGACAATAATGAGTAGAACAATGCAACAGTTCAATTTTTCAGCTGACCTGAGAAATTTTTAGCACCCTGTGACATGAGTGAACTACTCTGGCCATAACTAGAAAGTTTTCACCTATCATTCTTCAATAAATTGGAAAACGTTTTTATTTGAAAAAAAAATCCCAAACCTTCAAAAATCGTGGGCTTATGCCATTATTTTTTTTTTACAAGCAAAAATATTCTAGAAATATCAGAGGTTGCGTTGAACTGGGACAACCCATCACATACACAAGCCAAGCAAAAGAAACTAGAAGTATGGTAGAATCTATTGGAATCTATTGTTACAGCAAAGCATTTGAAACCTGCAAAAGGCCATGTTACAAATAAAAATTCGTTATAACGAAATTAAAATATATTTGTGGCTATTGTGAAGAGGCCAAGAAATTAAAAACATTTATTGTAAGCATAAATTCATTATAACAAGATTCTTCTATAGGTATAGAGTGAGTTGACCCCAAGATGAGGATGTAATTGGTGCATCAAGAGTTTCCTGATGTTGGAAGGTCCACAAGTCAAGTCTCATTTTTCCTTGGACTTCAAAGCTCATGTATTTAATTGGTTCTCATTTTTGTCAAAAATTAGAAAAAAGTCCTCAAAAATGTAATTAAAGATTGTTTCCTTCAATTTCAAGCTGTAGAAAACAAAAGTGCAAAACAAAACCACATAGAATCTAATTGTTTGGTGTCAAAAGGAGATCAAAAAGAATAAGTCTTGCTGGAATGTGCACAGATGATGAAAACAATTTCCAAAAAAAGAAGCACAAAATCAGCTTGCTTCTGATTATGAATTAGAGTGAATTTATCATGAAATTATTTTTTCAATTTTTGTGAATATAAATACCATATTTACTTGAGTACCACGCACCCTGGAGTAAGGCGCGCACAGGGGTTTTTCAGTAGGAAATTTTGCTAAAATCTTATCCCCAAGTGAGACATGCACCCCAATTTTCAGTGAATCTGAAACCACAAAATTTTGAAAATAAAAACAAAAAATTAACTACAGACATGAATTGAACAAAAATCTGATCAATTTTCAACTGTTTCAGTACAAAAAAGTTTTCTTGTTACATTTGTTCCAAATTTCTCCATTATAAATAAGTATAATGCACTCATAACTTCCTAAAACTTCTTGGAAAATTTGTACCTGCTTATGACGTGCAACCCTTTTTTTCTGAAATTTGAGGAAAAAGGTGCGCGTGGTACTCAAGTAAATACCGTAGCTTGATTTTTTCAAAAGATATCAAAATTCCAAAAAACAAAATGTTTCAATTTCAGGGAAATTTCCAGAAAAGTGTCCCTAACTCTATGTCCAGATGTCAGGCCTGATTTTTTTCGGTTTTCAAGTGTCCCTATAATAAGTCAAATTGTCCGTATGTCGGGGTGTCCGAATATCGGGGTCTCACTTTAGTATACAGTAATTTTCTCACCAGGATCTTTTCCCTTATTGGCCCCGAACTTCTCTCGGATGATGTCCTTCATGACCCTCGTCAGAATCTCCTTTTCGCTCTCGTTGGAATTTTTCGGGAACGCTTGTCTCAATGACGGATTGTCTTCCAGCAACTGGACCACCATCTCCTCCAGGACCTTTTCAGTCGGACTCGCATCAATACCTGGTTGTTGCTTCCCAGCAGCACCAGTTGTGGAATTCTCCCTTAGGACCTTGGGCTGAAGACCGAGCTGATCCGCGTAGTCTTGAAGCTGCTTGAGAGGAACTTCGCGGAGTTCGAAGAAGGTCTTGATGGCGTCGCTGTGGGCTTGGAAGAACTTGGAGAGGTACGCGTCGAGGTTCCAGTACTTCTTCTTGTAGATCTCGTGCTTGAAGTACCAGGTGGAGTACTCGGAGAAGTCCTTGTCCACGATGTAACCCGGGTGGTAGTAGGTGTGTCCGGTGCGGAGGTATTCGTAGAAGGGCCAGATGAAGCCGAGGATTATTGCGCAAAACGCCGGCCATACTAGAGAAAGGATTGTAATTTGCTTGATTATACAGTATATTATTCGTGCATGCAAAATGTGTCTGATTTCTGCTAAACGTGACGCACTGAAAATACGAAAGCTGTCGGCGCTGGCATTAGTATAAAATTTAAGTGGAATTCAAATTTATATCCATGACGAGTTATTGGAGAGAGAAATACGATCATAAGCCATGTAACGCTTTTGCATACTAATTTCTCGTGAGCAATAATTGCTGTGTTGTTCAACGAGCAACAAAAAATGCAGGCGCTAAAAGATTTCTTATACGGTATAGGCAGTACTGCACTCAATTTTATTTTTAGTTGAATAAAAGAATAATTGAGTGGAAAAATACCGCAGCACAGTTCTATGTATGGATTGGAATCTTGAAGTTTGAGTTGGTGAAAAAAATGAATGTTGGAATATTTTCAGGATTTCTCCCTTTTGCCAAGAATTATTTTGAGAATTCTGCATTACTTAATTAAACCGCACAATAATTTCATTGAATGCTGGTCGTCCACCTGGTTTGCAAGAGGAAGTGTGTTTTGTTTGCACACGAAGTGTCATTTTTCTGAGAAACTTTTTTATAATGTTAATAATAATACTGTACTAAAATTACTCTATATACTGTACTGCATGAAAAACCAATGATTTCATGTATCCAAGAGGAAGTCATTCTCATCAAAACATGAAGGAGCATATTTACAGGGTGGGCCAAAAAGTGAACTGCTTTTTTTCACTATCAAATCAAGCAACAGAAAAAAACTCAAAATGAAAGCTTGTTAAATTTTCTCTCAATTGATATGGTCCACTTGATTCAAATGATATGGTCCCATAATTGGTCCACTTTTTTTTGACCCACCCTGTCTAAACGTACTGTACTCATTTGTAAATTTTAGGTATAGAAGCTGTGGTTTATTTTGTTTTTACATGTGCATATAGATGCCTGAAATAAGCATATTGGTGCAGTTGAAACACAGAACTAGTCCAGAAGATCTGGCATTCATGTATTATTTACTATAGAGTACAGTACCAGAACAGACTTGCATAATATTTCCACCTTAATTTTTAAGCTGCAAAATTAGGCATAAAATTATTTCTGCATGTGTGCCTGGTGAAAAATGTTTACAATTCAAGATTCACACGCAACAGCTTAGATTTATTTTGTACTTGCGTAAAACGAAAATCCCATTGCATCCAACTTATTTCTTCATGTACTGTTGCCACTTTGAAAAGTAACTTGCTGAAAGAGTGTTCACTCAACTATACTCAACTTAGCCATCATGCACCCCATTTTTAGGGGGGGGGAAGTGCATGGGTACTTGAGTGAATGTTGTATTTCATCAGACTATAAATACTTGAGAGAATGTCTTACTGTAGAAGTAAGATGTGAACCATCCTAATGCCATGGTGAGTGGATTGTACAGTGAATCAATCTTTCCTCCAGGAGGCAATCGCAACAGAGGTAGTTGCACTTGCTTCCCTTGTCTTTCAAGCTCCCCTGATTTTCTCTCCTCTGCATTTTCAATAACCGTAAGAGCTTTTCTTTTCAACAGATGGCCCCTTGGAGTGATCACTGATTCCAGTCTTGAAACGGTTTGAGGTACCATCATGATGGCACCCGAGGAACTCACAGTCACCATCACAGCTGCCTGATGAAACAAGGCAATGATGGCACACTTTTGGAACCACTGCACCATTTTTTTGGTTTGTTTGTGGAAGATATCGGATCCGTGGACTTTGAAGAACGACTGGCGTTGATCTTGGTTGAATTTCGTGAGGAAATTCGAGAAGGGAGCGATGACCTCATCATGGAGTCAGGTGTGAAATGTTACGCTTGTCATTCGACCCCAGAATTCAGTATGTACAGTTTCGATGCAATATTCAACGACCCAGTGCTATTCGTAGTATATAGAGTTTTGATGGAATATTTATTTCCCGTTAGTTCTGTTGCTCCTCTCGGTACGTGTCTCTGTATGGAAAGCAGTAGAATTTAAAGTGTGAGGGTTTCTGTTGCCACTAAGCAAGGACTTTACTATGACAAGAAACCATACGAAGGGTATAACGAATGTTTTTGTAATATAAATAAAAACTGCATAGGATCAAGTCTAAAAACAAATATTTTTCTGAAAAATATTCTTATAGATGCAAGGTAGAAAGTTAGCCCTGTTTGGCGTATTCTTCAAATTTTTGTATGTGCGAACCTCACCCTAGCAGCATTCTGCTATTGACTGAAAAGATATGAGGTACCCATCTTACAGATTTTTAGATGTACCTCAACTTTTACTTTAGAATTCTTGTAATTGACATATAGCATTAAAGCCATGGGTTGCTGTCATTAATGAAAATGGTGGAATTACCCTCAGGGAGAACCTGAAAGCAACCCTTGGAATGAACACCATGTCAATTTTGAAATGAAATTTGGGTTGCACCAAAAAATCTGCAAGATGGGTGCCTCATCTTCTGAGTGTAGAGCAGAAAGTTGCTAAGGTGACCTTTTCACACAGAAGTCAGACTGAATCTTTTTTCTTTTGCCAGAGAATTATTTTTTCTTAACAGTAATTTTTTTCCCAGTTCAATCACATGCCATTCCAATTTCTATCCTGATAACTTCTGTTGCGCCCTTTTTACATGGTATAGCTTTTGCTGCTTCAAAGAAGTTTCTCGACTAAGGTCTTCTCTAATAAAAATTTTTTCTGGGTCCCACTCCCTGTGTTGAAGGTGGACTCTTGCTATGGCGAAATTCAAGGGGTCAGAGAAAAAACTCTTGTAGAGAATCCCTTTACCATGAGGAGAGATCTCTGGGACAAAATATTAATTTTACAGAGAAAATAGTTGCAGAGTTTTCTGTAATTTTATACCTTGTCATGGGCATGGTTTATTTTGGTCATTCAAATTGCGCATTAATCCCGCGCTTTTAATTATTTTCTCGTGTTGACTAACTCGCAAATCCTGCTTTGGCTCCAACACTCTTCATCAGAAAAAAATCAATCAGCGGTACAACATTTTCATCATGATCAGAAGGGATTTATGTATTTCTGTCAATCCCTCATTTCTCACTTTTCCAACAGCCCTACAGCATCACATGTATTTTTGAAGTTTCTCTCCTGTCACATCCTCCATGGTGATCAGTAGTGCATGTGCTTCTTTCTCTATCTCCTCGTCAGCATCTTCCATCAACTCCGCAACGCTCGGAAGCAATTCGACCAACAGACTGATCATCCCTTCCCGCCCAAGTGCCAGGACTATCTGCTTCTGGCAACGAACAGCTAGCAAGCGGATCTGCAGCAAAACATTCGAATTTACATTTGATGATCCAGTAGCTATACCAATTACTGAATCAACTCACTTCAGCCGACGTGTGCCTGGCCTTGAGCATCACCAACTCGGACAACTTTTTCAGCATCGTTTCCTTGGAAGCATGCTCCAGAGCAACGCCGAAATGCACAATGGCGGCCATCACGAAATCCCGGACTTCATCTTCATTCAGATTCCGGTTCTCCAACTGATCCACCAACGGCTCAACCACAGCCTCGAACCTCTCGTTAGTAACAAACGACACCGGCGGGCAGAACGTGAAACAGGATTTCAGGGTGCCCAAAACTGCCTTCAGGGCAATGGGCTTTTGCGACTTTGGCATGCCAGCAATGAATGCGACGAAATCCGAATCGGATTCGAAGGTTTTCGTATCATCTTGTCCGCTTTTCTGTTCACGATCTTGAATAGTTTCTGGGGTGAGGTTGACGAATTTTCGCACTATAGTGACGAGTTCTGTGAAAAGGTGGCTTGCAAATGGTTCGAAGAGCTCCTTCAGTCGATGAGAAAGTTGTTCCGCCAATCTGAAATTCACGCAGGGAAAAAAAAAATTGGATTGAGGAGATAATAAAGTTAATCCAGCCTTCACGAGAAATTTAGAACGCAATTCTCTACTTCACTGCTGGTGAAAATCGCACCATCCTTACAAATTGAATAAATTTTCGTGAGAATTTATGACACTATTCTCGTGGACAAAAATTCAATTTGAAAGCACGGTGTAATTTTTTCTTCAACTTGTCGCGCGATTTTCACCAGCTGCTTAATAGCCATAATCATTTTCGACAATTTACCAAGAATTACCAGTGAAATTAGAGTTACAATAATGTGAAACAGGTTGGAAAACTTTCCGGCTGCGTTTTCGAATTTTTCATTGTTTCGCACGCCTCCAAATATTCGGAAAATATTTGTAGCATCCACGACATGATGAATTTCTAAAACTTCAATGTGGAAAAGTAGTCCAAAAATTACCTCAAAAATGTCACGAGCCGCAATTCCGCTGATTTGTCATCAGGTGGCAGATCGTCGCCTTTGCCACGAATTGCCCAGCGATGAAGCTTGTAGAACACAGGAGCAAATCCTTCAGCGGAAAGCTTCATAATGGGAGCCAGGAACGCTTTCACGATAGAATCTTCTGTCCTGCTAACATTCAAGTCCACAGTCGCATATTCTTTCGGTTTCCTATAGTCCTTCACGAACAATCGTCTGTAGTCGAAGAACTGAAAAAAAGATCAAACGCTTTTGAGATAATTAAAAAATTTGAAAAGCTCCAGGCAAAGAGTTACACCGCTTTCCCTCAAACATAATCATTGTACATCTGTGAACAATCCAGGTATTCTAAGACATTTTAGATGCAAGAAATCAAAAATGAGAAATTTCAAATTTTGACCTTTGCCCTCGAAAAAGGAAATTTTGCCACTTGAATTTCAAATGACTGCGAAAGCCACTGTAGAGTTCGTCCCTGCTTGAAAAAAAAAACCATACAACAAAAGTGTGGTCAAACATAATCTTCGACTAAAAAGTGACTCACGCAACATAATTATATGGCCAATAATTGCTCTAATTTTGGAAAATTTCGAGAAAAATCTTTAAACTTTTTCCAAAAATTGATGAAAAAAGCCTATATTTTTGTCATTCCTTATCTTTGAAATTCGTAAATTTTGGAGTCATGAAACAAATTGAATTCATCCTGACCTATCAAATTTTTAAAATTAATAGCAATTCTCAATTTAACACCATGACATGGTGATTTTTTGGCTCATAAGCAAAAGCTTAGCTTATATGGTTTAGAGGGTCCTCTCATTATTCAAAATTTAAAAAGATTCCAACATGTAAACCCCAATAAGGTTGCACTTTAAATTATTCAAATTTTTTCTGGCACTCACCGAATAATCCAAGTTTATTTCACATTTTTCAGCAGAACATTGTCAATTTAAAAATTTTTAATATTACAGTAATTTGAAGTACGCCTGAACAGTTTGCGCCCCCAACTTCCGTTTCCTCAATTTTCCGAAACATTCCATGGTTTTCGACCAGAAGTTACTCAAGTGGGAACATTTTTAGACTGAAAATTTGCACGTGAACCACTTGATACCCCAGGCAAAATGTTTAAAGTCGAAAATTTCGTCGTACGGGTCTTTCGTAACGCGGGAACCACTTCGTGATCGTTCGTTAAAAGATTGGTACATTTTCTGGACCCTTCTGCAGAATACCTGGTTTGAAACTGCACCCGGGCTTACCCGAGCAACAACAAGAAAATTCAACACAAAACGTGATATTTGGCTAGCATTTCAAGATGAAAAACATACTAAATTGTCTCACTATAGGAAAATTACAACGTACTGTACCTCAATGAACATCGACTCGACTTCTCGAACAAGGACTCCAACTGCTTTGCGGTCAATCACTGTGAAATGAGCTTCCACAATCGACATTAAAAACTCCACCACTGGTCCGCTTCTACACTGTGTCGGATTCGACTTTCCCGCAGCGACATCCTTGCATGCTTTCCGATAGGCCGACAAGATAGCGGGNGCTGTGTGTTTCCGCAATTCCAATCAGAGCTTCGAAGTAAAGCTCCAGAGGCAGGAGCTCTTTCACCCTTTCCAGACAATCCATGGCCTGAGCACGCAGTTCACGAGTGTATCTGCAATAAATATTATGGGTAAAATTTTTCGATACAGTATTATAACAAAAAAACAAGGTCTTTTCAACCTATTTCTTTCCAGATTTAACGCATGTTCAATTGAAGTTTTCGGGATTCGACTGACATTTTAGAGGGTACGAGATAAAAAAAATTAAAATACAGATGAAGGGCTTGCCTTTCATTTTAAAATGTCGATACGATTTTGACTCAATTTAATAATGTTCAAAAGAAATGATCTATACGAATTCAGTTACCACACGTGTAAAAGAGTCGATCTTCGTCTTCCGGGTAGATTAAAATACTTTTCTTTCAATCTATTTCTCCCCATATATTTATGCGGTTCAACCTATCACAACTTTTACCGAAAATGAGAATCGAAATTATTTTGAAGCACACAACAGTCGACGCTTCCATTCCCCCCGAAAATATCATCATTTTATTGTATCCATCTTTTCAAGTGTCGGACTTTTTTTGCGTCTTAGTTTGCGAAAGACTTATCGTTACTATGAAAAGGTTCAATAAACTAACTTAGCTTTAACATTACTTTACGTCCTACATAACGGGGGCTTCATATTTTAAGCTGTTGAATAGAATGATGTGACAAAAATATTTGAAAGTTGGAATGTAAGATTAACGTGGTTTGAAAATCATTCATTTGGCAACAAAGCAACATCTATGATTTCAGTCAGAGTCATAAATGGGGACTAATTTTCCTGAAGACAAGCGAACAAAAGTCATATTTTGAAAGGTGATACAATTCATAAAAATGTGCTAAAAAAATTGAACATCACAGGGATTCCAGAGAATCAAATGTACTGTATACTACCGTACATACCCTGTATATCATGAAAATCTCACCTGAGAAAACGCTGGATTTCGGCATCGGTTTTCAGCTCCGGATTCTCATCCAATTTTTGCGTGTATTTCTCAAAGTTGCGTAAGTGTAGTAGTACCATCGGGTATCGAAGTGCTTGCTTCAGAGCGCAGTATCATGCTTTGCCGAAGTGTAGAAGCCGTCCGTATAGGTTTTTGACATTAGTTTGTTTCTTTCGTTATTTTGACAACACAATAAACAACTATTCGTGGTCGCCTTTTTCCTGAAATCGAGATAAAGCCGGGGATGACAAATACATTTCATGCAAACGAACACCGGATCATTAAAAAAAAAATTCAAGGCAAACACGATGAAAAAAATTATGCATCTCCAATTCGTAATTTTGATAAAAGCGGTTTTCACTCATTATAAAAAAAAAGAAAAATGTAACGAAGGAAATGTCACGGAAACGCACCTTCTCGACGAAATTTTCAGCGTTGATCACTCGACCAACGAACACCAATGTGCCGAGCTGGAATTTCCTCAAGTCGGCTACGCTTTCGGTATTCACAAATTTTTAGTTAGCAAGGCCCCTCTTAAGTTAAAGAAGGCCTTCCCTAGCGAAAACCGGCGCAAATGAGCCCGAAAAGACGAGACGTGGCCTAAAGCGTAGACGCATTTTTTATATTATGCTTATTTACTTTTGCGCCACTATTGGAAAAAAAAATACTGGAATTCGTGATCATTCTTCAACAAAGGAAATATCGTCACAACATACAGTAAAAATGAGCCTTGGTTCAAATTGTTACACGAGGGTTGTCCCGAGTTTGGCTAGTTGAGAAATTCCGAAACAAAAAAAAAGCCGGTCGTTCAGATCTTCAGAATGATACACAGTGGATCCCCGCACTACGGAGGAGTCACTTTTTTCAAACATAATAAAGTGATTCACGAAAGCGTTTCACATTCGAAAACTTTCGACCTCACGTGCTCACATTTTTTGTCACGTTTTGAATTAAAAGTTTCAAAACTTCGGATTTTTCCCCAATTAATCATAAAAACTGTTTCTCACGTTTATCGAGAAAATAAAAATCGGACACATCTGCAACGTACCTTCTCCAAGAGGGTTGCCGTTAAATGCCTTTACGCAGTTGTTGCTAGATGTGCTAGCGTAGTCGTCGTCGTGGCCTATGAATGACGTGTCGAGGTGTCGGTTAAGTTGTGAGGTACCGTTAGGTGGGAAAAAAAAATATATACTTTACAGTAAATACAAATGAACACAACTGAAACTAAAAATATTGAGCATCAAAGCATTTCAGTACTATTAATTTTCATTCGAAAATTGTCAGCGCTTCCCATAAAGGATCTATTTGCGAATTTTCGGCTTTCGTCCACTTTTGGCACGTCAACGTTCAGATTCCGTTGCACTGAATATATTTTTTTAGTTTTTGTTACAGGTAGACTCTCCCTTTGCAACGAGTTTCTCTGTAGAAAGAGTTTTTTTCGTTTCATTGAGGTTCGATTCAAAGAATTTCATTCTGGTTGCCTCAAATTTCATTGCACAGAGAATCCACCTTTATACAGTACTTCAATGAGATTTGTTCATCAGCATATCGATGGAATTTTTTACAGGACTTCGAACGCATTCGCAGCTTTACAAATTTCGTTGTAACAGAATCGAACTGCACTATATTCGGTCAATGGACTTTAGACACTAGATATATTACGCCTATTCACCAAAACAGCAAAGCATCAAAAAAATAAAGAAAGAAAGAAAGCACCGCTTCCAAATCGCACAAAACCTCAAACAAATGTTTTTTACCCACGAAAACGATGTTAGTCTTACTTTTCGGCGATTATCGGAATCCTCAAAACTGAGTTCCTCTTCGGGGGTCATTCTCGTGAA